CAACGTAATCAGCACCAGCATAACAATAATGATAGTCATCGTCATCACCACCACGATCAGCATCATCATCACCACCATCAGCATCATCAGCATCATCGTCATCGCCGTCATAATCAGAATCATCATCGTCGTCGTCATCGGCATTGGCGTTGAAATCGACATCGTGTTCATCACCGTCATCAGCACCATCACCAGCACCATCCATCCCTCGCTCTCCCTCCTGGCCTCGACTAGGTGGGCGCATGCACACCATGGTAGGGCCTGGAAGATTCCTGGCCAGGCACGGTGGTGATGTATAGATGCCTGCTGCGTATCCTGGCCCCTGGCGCAATCGGCTGGCCTCATCCCCCCGAGGCAAAATCTGTCGGCATCGATGCAGGCATCAGGACGCATCAGTTCGTCGGAACATCGGAACCGAATCGGATCGAGGCTGGCTGGAGTCGATACCGAATATGGTGCAACCGGGAGATACAAATCACTACTACCTGGACCTCCTCTGAGATGCGTCCTGACCAGAATTTCGAGGCCAATCCAGCGGTGCCGACAAGACTCGCAGGAGGCCCAATAAGGCGAACACGAGGCGATGGTCGCGGTAGCTGTACCTCTTCCTCATGTATTAAGTCGGATCGAACTGGGCCCCGCCGAGGTGGCCCCCGAGCCGCCACGCGGCCGACAGGAAGGCCAGCCTGGGCCCTCGGCGCCACCACCCTCAAGGCCCTTCGCCGAGCCCAGGGGTTGCCAGGAGGGAAGCCCCGGCTTCCAGAGACTGCCGAGAGCGCGCGCCGAGAGTACCAGGAGCCTCCTCGTCCATTCTTCTCCTCATTTCTCATCCTTCCCCTCATCATCTCCTCCTCCTCCTCCTCCTCCTTCTCCTCCTCCTCCTCCTCCTCCTCCTCCTCCTCCTCCTCCTCCTTGTTTCTGCCTGCTCCCCCTTCTCCTACTCATCCTCTTCTTCATCTTCCTCCTCCTCCTCCTCCACCTCCTCCTCCTCCTCCTGCTCTTCCTGTTCCTCCTCCTCCTCCCCCAACCCATCCCTCCCTCCTGCCCCAAATCTCCCCTTCTCCCCCCCCCCTCCCTTCCTCCTCATCCTCCTCCTCGAGCTCGATCTGGTGGCCTCTGGCCTGCCGAAGACAGTGCGGCCATCGCCCCAGCCTCCGTGGAAACGGTGATTCTGAAAACGGACCGCTGACGCCCGCCAGAAGAGTAAGGAGAGTTGTCTTCGCGGTCGTCGTCGTCGTCATCGTCGTCGTCGTCGTCGTGGTCGTGGTCGTCGTCGTGGTCGTGGTCGTCGTCGTCGTTGTCGTCCTGGTCGCCGTCGTCGGCGTCGCCGTTGTCGCCGCGGTGGTGGTGGTGATGGTCGTCGTGGTCGCCATCCGTCATCCATCATCCACCATCTTTAATCCGTCACCCATCACTATAATCATCGTCAGCAGCAACATACACCAACATCCCCATCACAATCATCCTCATCCTCATCATCATCATCATCATCATCATCATCATCATCATCATCATCATCAGCATCATCATCATCATCAGCAGCAGCATCGGCATCCGCATCAGCATCAGCAACAGCATCAGCATCAGCATCATCGTCACCATCGTTAACATCAGCATAAGCAGCAGCAGCAGCCGCGGCAGCAACTCATTAGCCACCATGCATCAAGCATAAACATCATGATCGTCATCAGCAGCATCATCGATGTCATCAGCAACTGTGCTATCATAATCGTAATCGTCATCGTCATCAAACTCAGTACCATCATCACTAGTTATCATCACCATCACCATCACCATCGTCATCAACAACATCGTCATCCGCACCATCAGCATCATCAGCATCATCATCATCATCATCATCATCATCATCATCATCATCATCACCATCGGCATCGTCGTCATCATCGGCACCATCTGCATCGGCATCGGCATCTAGCATCGGCATCAGCATCACCATCATCAGCAGCCGCATCGTCACCACCGTCGTCACCATCAACACCACCACCACGACCACCACCACCATCATCATCGTAATCATCATCACAATCATCATCACCATCATCAGCATCACTGTCGTCGTCTTCACCATCATCATCCTCATCCTCATGATCATCATCATCATCATCATCATCATCATCATCATCATCATCATCATCATCATCATCATCATCATCATCATCATCATCATCATCATCATCTTCATGATCACCATGATCACCATCATCATCATCAACAACACCATCATAATAATCATCATTACCATCATCATCAACAACATCAACAGAATCATCATCAACAATCTCATCCTCGTCGGTGTCGAGAACGACGACGATGATGACGACGATGACGACGACGAGAGCAGTGCCCACTCGGCGCGCCACGGCAAAGGCGAACAGCACCCAGTGGACCACGGGACGCGCTGGCCCCAGCGACGCGAAGGCGAGGGCCCACGTGGCGGCGGAGACGGCGACCGCGGGGGCGCAGTAGACGCAGCCTCTGCCTTGGCGGCGAAGGCTAGGGGCGAGGGAAGGTACTAAAAACAAAACAAACAAAAAAAAAAAAGGTCCGCGAGAGCGTCTTGGATCGGCGCTGACCCCGCCCTTGGGCGCGGAGCGCGCAAGGGGCGGCTACGAAGGCGCCGCCTGGGGGGACCAAGCGCCGACCCAAAAAATCCTCGCGGACCTCCGAAAGTTCATGTTATGTACTCAAAATGTTGTAGTAAATTGGGGGGATCAAAACCCTCCCAGACGACCAGTGTTAAACCCCCCAAGACCAGCCATGAAAGGGCGGCCTTTTGCCCTGATCCGCCCGAAGCCTCCAAGACAGCTCAACTCAAACCACCCTGGAATGTTACCCCACCACTTCATTATGCAATCCGGAGTAGCTCTCTCCCCGTGTTGTTCGCAAGAGGCATCTGCACGCCGTCACCATGCCTGGCCAGGGCGCTCCCCGGCCCTCGGCATGGTGCACACACTCCCGGCCGAGGCCAGGGGGGGTCCACAAACACCATCCCTGGGGACTGTCCTGGCAGCAGAGGCGGAGTTCAGCGAGCCCCTGCCTCGGCGACGAGGGCCTGGACGAGTGCCCGGCTCGAGCCCGAGCCAGGAACTTCTGCATACCCACCGCCTGGGAAGCCGGGTCTCCCAGGGGCCCCAGGCGCAGGGCGTGGCAGGCGTGGCATTTCCATGACAGCAAACGGCAGAGGGGGTGAGCAGGGTGTGGTTCCCCTGCCCGTGCCCCGCTCCCAGGGCGGCGGCTAGGACACATCCGGGCCCCAGGGTAGGAGCGGTCAGCATCGAATCGATAAACTAGATCGGATCGGAGCGTGCATCGAATCGGGCCGCATCGGCACGGAGACGGGATAGAATCGAACGGGATCGAGGCCAGCCAGAATCGATATCGAATCGGACGCCCCGCGAGCGGTCAGAGCGCCCAAGATAGCCCAAGATGGCTCCAAGAGGACCCCAGATAGCCCAAGATGGCCTTCAAGATGGTTCAAAATAGCGCAAGGTCGCTCAAGATGGCTTCCAACATACTCTCAGAGGTCCCAAGACCGCTACAAGACGGGACCAAGTGGCCGTGCGGGCTCCCCAGGGCGCCCCCAAGAGACCCAAATTCTTCCAACACCGAAGGAACATCCATGAGCTTGACCTTCTCGCCCGTTCGCTTCAGATGGCCCTCCGAGGCCTCAAGATGGCTCCAAGAAAGAGAGCCCCATGAGGGGCCCATGAGGGCTCCAAGACGGCCCCAAGAGCACCAAGGAGCGCCCCAGGAGCGCCCCGAGAGAGCCCCAACAAGCGATTTTAGGGGCTCTAGAGACTAGAGGGGGGCACTAATTAAGCACTCCCCCCCCCTTCTTTGATCGATGTCCAAGAAGGCCCCAAGATGCTCGTAAGAGGCCCCCAAGAGCCCCCCAAGAGGCCCCCAAGACGCCCCAATTGGCCCGCCAAGAAAGAGACATCCCAAGCGACTCCGAGAGGCATCCAAGAGGCCTCTGGACAACTGAGGCTCCCCGAGTTATACAATTGATGACGCGCTGCCCCGACTAGGGCAGCTCCCCTAGGCATCGTTCATGGATGGACTGGTGGAGATGCGCGAAGCGCTAAAAAATCCATCTAAGTAGAAATTGCCAGGGCTGGAAAAATTGGCAAGGGCCGAAACGAACCCGCAACAGATGGGATGAGGTCGCCGAGGGCTGGAAAGACTGGAGGGAGACAGGCCAGGGCTGGAGCGAGTGGAGGGGTTGGCCCCAGCCACTTTTCCCAGCTTCCTTCGAAACACCTCAGCCTAGGTAAAACGTTCGGTTGTCCACCACGAGGGTCATGGTGAGCCTCATGATGGGGGCAGTTCGGTAACTGTGAGTGGGGTATTAGTGTTGAGATTGAAGGCTTACAGGTGCAATTACATTGCGAGAAAGGTGACCGTGATGACCGCGAGGGGGGTCAAGGCCATCTCTGCTGAGTTATCCAAGGGTTGCTAGCCAGGAGACAGGAAGAGTAAGGGAGGCGGTTAGGAGAATGGAGGAAGCGATGCGGAACAGACAGAAGAGGAGGAGGACGAAAAAAGCTCAAAGGCCGCGCAAGTCCCATCGAGAAAGTTCTTGACTAGACTGCCGTGCCACAGGAGCGAAGCTCCGTTCAGTGCGAAGCAAGCTGGATAGCGCCCAGAGACAACATTCGCCAGGAGGACGTTCGATTGGAGCGCCAGAGACCCAAATCCAAGGCCCGAGATCTGGAGCCCCATCTTGGGCCCCAAGTGGTGCTCATTTCGGCGTCTCGACTTTCGGTCACCTAACTTCGCGCATTGCGCCGCCCCGCGATGCGCGACTGCCTTCGCGCCATCGATCCCTCGCGCAGCCCCCCTGAAGAAAGGCAGCCGCTCCGGCCCAGATCGGCGACACGCGAGGTTCGCTTATCTCTTCGCACCCCCGCGGGTTACCCAAAGAAAGGGCGTGTGATGTGAACTCCGTGTCTTCTGAACCGCGTCCCGGCTGTCGTACGGCGTGGGCGGTGTACAGAGTTGGTTCTTCCAACCACCTACTCCTCTCCCCCGTCGGTAGCAAGTGCTTGTCGAAAGCCATTCCGCTCGAGCGACAACAGGGATACGACAGCATATCTGTCAATCGCCCCCTCTGGTGCGGTTGGAACAAAATCTTGGACGCGGCGCACCGTCAGCCACGCCGTTTTTGGGGCACGCCGTCAGCCACGCATCGCAACACGAAACCTAATCGGCATCTTGTGCACCTGCCACGCGTTTTGGTCACAGTCCTGAACCGTCGCGCAGGGCTCATCGTACTCCTCCGCCTAAGCATCGCACCTGGGGTCGTACTCTTCTGAGCCTCACGTCCGAAAGAGGCAAGCGTTCGGGTCCCACTCGTGAAATCATGCCTCCGCAACGAAGAAACACTCACATTCTGGGTTCAGCGGGCCGAAACGGCCCCAGTGGAACTCTGAGCCATGGACCTCTTTGATCTTCGCGGCACGGCACTCATGACGGCTTCACGATTGCAGCAGGAGTGGCCTTTCCAAGGATGGCACTCGGTGAAAGCACCAGGCTCAGGCCCTTGACCATGTTTGCGCAAGTAGTCATTGTGGCACACTTCATGGTCGCCTGTCCCTAGGCCAAATAGCTGAGAGATCGCGTCGTTGGGATTTTCTGCGCGAAGGAACCACATGATGTAGGCTTTCGGCTCGTCCTCTCGTAGCGAATCATCGTTCCACATGTTATCGCAAAGCTCCTTGTCGTTGGCACTGACCTCATCGAAGCGTCGCACTCAGGCGCCACAGACCCCAGGACTGCAGTTGGAGCGGTCATGAACCACGTGGCGACGGCGACGACTGCGGAACAGGGTGCCATGTTGTGACAGACGCATAAGACGACATGGTGAGAGGATTAAAACGATATGTGGCTATCCCCTGCGCAGGTGCTAACCTCGGGCGGCGATTGTTTCCCCTTCCGAAGGGGGTAACAACATTTTCCTGCTTCGCCCCCCTGGCTCTCGAACAACGACCTCGCGCGGCCAATTGCGGTGCCGCGGAATCTTGTAATAAGTCACCCCGGCCAAGCGACCGGAACCGTCCTTGCGAAGTCAACCGCGCCCCGCGCGCGCGCCACCGACGCTGCCCGTCCGATCGCATAGTGCCACCGCACCCCTGCACGCGCTCGCGCAAGCCGCGAGCTTGATAAGACAGTTTTCGGAAGCATTCGGTCGCAATGCTCTTGCTGGCCCCCGCCCCGTCTGGACGAGGACAACCCAGTAGATCACGAAGCTGGCCGCGGTGTCAGAGCAAAGGGGCCGAAAATGCCACCCGCGGGTCACAAGGATGGGGCGAGCACGACCACCGACTTGCCTGGACCAGAGGGGTCATTAAGTATCACCCACGGGCAAAGAGACATTTGTCGGTCCAGTAAAGTCGGCAGCTCAACATAGACTGGCCAAGATAAGGCGTCAATTGGTAGCGACGGAACTAACCTACTCACCTGCCAAAAACGCGGGCCGACTTCAACGCACCTGAGGGAGGTGCGAAAACGGACCGAATGCCGGCCACAGTTTCAGTTTGGTGGCCGGGCGCCACGCCTTCAGCGAGACGGCCGCAGCTAAGTGGCCGGACGCCCCGCCCCTAGCTGGCCCGCAAGTTGTCCACAGCTAGCTGGGTGGCTGGAGGCCCCTTGTGAGGCAAAATACTAAGAGCCCGAGTACGGTGGCGCACAGATGCGGCCGCCTGCCAGCGGTCCGCCGCGGGCCCCGAGACGGCCCAAGAAGGCCCCAAGACGGCCCGACAAGGGCCCAAGAGGACCTCAGCTCGGCGGCCCCTGGGGGCTTTCGGACGGCCCTCGAAGTCTCCAACGAAGCTTGGAAACGACCCAACAAGGCCCCCGAAATGGACTCCGAAAGCGACAGACGGCCCAATGGCAACCTCAGACGGACACAAGGCCCCCGCGGACGCTGCCAAGATGACCTAAGACGCCCCGAAGATGGCCCGGGACCCCACGGTTTTCAAATCATGTCGAACACCATGTCGACCAAAGACGGCGCCACAAGGCCTCCCTCCCCTGTGGCCGCACCCCCCCGGAGCGGCACCCCCCCAGAAACTTTTACGAGACACTGCGGGGTTTCACTCCTGGGGAGTAACCCGCGCCGCCAACAACGCCTTCGGGCCCGTGAGGCCCTAAAACAAGCCTCGGGGGGGGGGGCCCAAGGCGCCCTGCCCATCCACCCCCAGCGGAAGAGCATCTGAAACGGCCGTGTCAGATGGTCTTCCGCGTGGGCACCACGAGGACGCCCGAAGGACCCCAACAGCGCCAGCTTCTCCGCTTCTATTCAGTACTCTTCCGCGCGGGAGCTAAACGCTCGAAGGCGCGCCGCCAGGTCTGCGGGCGGCCCGCGGGCCGGGAAATCCAGGCCGGGGTCGCGCATCATCAGGAGGTTGTCCTCGGTCGTTGCCCTGGACAGCACCGCGTAGACATGCAGCCAAAGGTAATCAATTTTCTTTTCATCCT